TTTTTTATTTACTATGTAAAAATTCAATATACCATGCAGATCATATGAAAAATGATCTACGTACACCCTACCCTTAATATAAGTTTTTCTATTTTTCAAAATATTATATAGCTAATCAAATTGCAGTATCAACTTGAATTTTTTTTTGTAGCCAATAGAATTACTATATTTTATCAATTATGTATTTTTTTTTTACTCTGCTCTTTACGAGCTATTTTATATTAAACAAAGAATCAATTTAAAGTAATCTCATTATTATAATAACAGCAGAGTATAGTATAAAATTTCTTAGCATTATACAATCACGAAAACCATTTCGGGCAACAAAACAGCCTAAACCCATCTTGGAAACTAATAAAAGATAATGGAAACGCAATTTGGCAATATAATAACTGTTCTAATTCTAATAAAAACCCTTATTTATCTAAACAATTCTGGCCCATATTTGTACTGCACCCTGCTGTACTACGTATATAAAAATTCGATTAAAAATTGACTAAAAAGGTTTTTTTTTTATTTTACAATATTTTCAACAATAAATCTTTAATTTTTTGCTTTAATAGTTGTAAATTTTGTCTATATAATAATTTTTTGAATTATCGTAAGTTGAAGAATTAATTAGTCTAAAATAAATAAAAAATGAATAATAATTACAGTTTATTGACAAATGTCTTTTGTTAAATAAAGTCTTTTTTTTAAGTCTATCAATTATGCTATTTCGTTTGGCAATATATAAAGTACTAATGTTGTTATTATTATAATAATAAAACCAATATCAAATCTTATATGATATGGTTTTATTGTATTTGATGAACTAGTTAAAGTTTTTGGATCTATTACTGAAGGTCTATATGGATTTGGATTTTCTAAACTTGTGTACCTAAGTAATATTAGAATTCAGTTAGAATCGATCTTCATGAATGGAATATTTTTAGATAAAAAAAAACTCGATCTTTAACATATACCCCATGGTTTCCAATGTTTTCTTCAATTTAGGACCAATGCCGTTCCCACCAGTAAAATTAGTCAGATCATTAATAGTCGTTCCATTTCTGGCTTGCGCCCCCATAAGAAAGTCCGAAGAATTCACATAAGTTGCCGCATCTACATGACTAATACTAGAGCCTTGCCTGAAGGGTTTAAAAGAAGTTTCTAATATCAATGAGTCACTCGGATCCGTAGATCCTTGAGGCATAAACCCTAAAGACCGCGGAGTCTGCGCTATTGAGTACATTTTTTTTGCTAGCGGGAACTGAGC